TCCCTCTTCCCAGCCCTTCCTGGGCGTGGGGCCACGTCTCCGGTCTTCAGCAGGTTGGGAAGGTCTGCAGCCCATGCTGCGCCCGTGCGCTCCTCCTCCGCGGGCTTGGCTGCGGCGCGCCCCCCGCGAGCGCTCCCGGCCCCGCTCCGGCGCCGGTAGTCCGAAGCTCCCGCGCTCCTGCGCCCCTGCTCCTGCCCCTGCCCCTGCTCCTGCGCTTGGCCGCCACTCGCCTCTGCCACTTCTCGCGCTTAAACGCTGGGCAGGACGCACTGGGTTTCCGGGCAGTCGCCCGGCATGGTTGCCACAATAAACGGCGTCATGGGGACCTGGGATGATCTGGGCGGCGATAGGACTCTGGTAACTGAACACTAGAAGGTTGGAGGCGTCTAAATCACAGCTAGGATGCAAATGGCAGCCCTATCCAGAGCGAGGGAACGGAGGAAGGCCCGCTGCCTGGCTGCGGTACTTTTAAAAGTACCAGAGGCACAAACATCTCGCGGGAACCTCTAATTTTTCCCCTTTGTAAGGCACGGTGTGTGTGACACGCCCCTAACCCTGCTCCCTGGGCCACACCCTTGTTTTCAGACAGGATCGGTACTATGTGGAAGGCGACCGTATGGGAGGCGAGGCAGGTGTCCAGTCGCAGAGACGGTTCTCGAGGGCCGAAGGACTGCACCAGAAGGCAGTGGCACACACAGAGTGACCTCAGAAAGACGGTCGCATAAACAGAAACCCATACGACGAAGAATACCAGATAGTTAGGACCATAAACAGCTCAGTAGCCGCCAAATGGATCACGCAAATCATTTTAATGGCAGGTGCATTTTATGAGCTGTTAGGCTGTATGGAAAGAGCATGGCTGTGCATATTTCTAGCAGAGAATTAAATCAAGAAGGTGTTATCCATCAAAAAAGGCAGACCAGGAAGACTGCTCAAATGAGCAACAAGTTTGTCTTTTCTGGATATTTTCTTTTAATCTTTTTATTTTATTTTTTTGAGAGGCAGTCCACCTCTGTTGCTAGGCTAGAGTGCTGTGGTGCGATCTCGGCTCACTGTTCAAGCGATTCTCCTGCCTCAGCCTCCCGAGTAGCTGGGACTGCAAGCGCGCGCCACCACACCCGGCTAATTTTTGTATTTTTAAGAGAGATGGGGTTTCACTATGTTGGCCAGGATGGTCTCGATCTCTTGACCTCTTGAGGCCGCCCACCTCAGCCTCCCAAAGTGCTGGGATTTACAGGCGTGAGTCACTGCTGCCCTTAATTTAATTTTATTTTTCTTAAAGAATTAAAACAGGAACTGAAAGTAATCTTAGAAGTCTCCTATCAATTCTTTTTTTAGGCTTAGAGAAGTTGAATGACTTTTCCAAGGTCATCAGGGAGCTGGTTAATGAGGGTAGGATGGGGAACTAGGGGCCTGACTCAGTTTCCCCATGTATCCACAACACCAGGAAAGTACAGCTGAGGATTCTTGGAGGTGAAAAAAATCCTGGTTTCTTCCAAGGAAACTAATGCTCAGCTCTGTGACAGAAAGCCGATTACTTACAGCATTTAAACTCATTTCACTTTTGTATTGGATGTTGCTGTCAATTTTCCTTTTACTAAAATTAAGGAAGAAGAAAGAAGAGGAAATGAAACAACTCAAAATAGTATAACTATGGTGCAAGAAATATTAAAGATTTATTGAATGAAGAGTTGAAACAAGGCGAAAATGGTGTTGGGGGAACATCTCTGATAGTATTAACTCATGTGTGTCACGGAATGCCCTAACTGGAAACTTGGGGAAATTCTCAATTAGAATATTCCAACACAATACCAATAAAATGTTTTTGAGCAAGTTCAATGGATGTTAGTAGAATTGCAAGAGTAAAATACTGCACACTACTTTTTTTTAAATTTTATTTTAAGGCTCTCTGTGAACAGAGATTTGCTGAGGATGAGTAGGTGGTACCCAAGTGTGTTATGCAGGAGTCGTCTGCAGCACCCTAGAACTGCAGTGTGTAAACTAAAATAAAATCCTAAGCCCACCAGAGACGGAACAGACATCCTCTAAGCCAAGGAGACCCTAGAAAAAGTTAAAAACCAAGTTCCTGGCTTATGATGGAAGGAGAGGTCAGACATGTCTTTGTTTTTTATATCCCCTTTCTTTTGTGGTTTAGACACAACTGATTAGCATATGTTAAAATAGAGACCAGAAGATTGACAGAACAGGCCAGCGCAGTGGCTCATGCCTGTAACCCTAGCACTTTGGGAGGCTGAGGCAGGTGGATCACCTGGGGTCAGGAGTTCAAGACCAACTTGGTCAACATGGTGAAACTCTTTCTCTACTAAAACTACAAAAATTAGCCGTGTGTGGTGGCGGGTGACTGTAGTCCCAGCTACTTGGAAGGCTGAGGCAGGAGAATTGCTTGAACCTGGAAGGCGGAGGGTGCAGTGAACCAAGATGGCGTCATTGCAATCCACCCTAGGTCGAGAGTTAAGACTCCCTCTCAAAAAAAAAAAAGATTGACAGAACAGACTCTTCATGGCGGTAACATACTAAATTATAAATAGGACCTAAGGCAATGCCAGACAAGGGTTAAGTCATACACCTCTATATTTAAAGAAGAAACTATGTTCTAACCTTGCTAGGAAGTTTTCCTTTTTCTCTAGCCGCTTAACAAGCACTGGCTAGAAATAAGCAATATTATGACAATTAGAGCTCATCCATCTCACAGGCTCTGGCTAACTGACCCCCTACAACACCAGGTGATAAGAAGACCACCGACCATGGACTGTTTCTGGCCAGTTGACAGAGGTTGTGCACTTTTGTACTTTATGTTCTCAAAAGACCTTTTGATATATAGGACTTAATTATAATACATTTAAATGTTAAATCATCCTAAAGTGAACATGGGGTCATATGTTAACGTGCACATTTGTTTAATATATATGCATCAGAACCACCTTTATGAATATTCATAGCTCCTCCTATAACCTGTTGAATATATATGTTTAGCCAGCCTGATCAGGATAAAGCTGTTTCCCCAACCTCTCCTCCTTTGAAGCGCCTGTCTCCGGACTTGGAGTGAGGCAAGCTTCCCAGCCTGGAGAATGGCCACCTTGCAGGCTGTAACCCTTTCTAACAAATGAAGTTTTCTCTCCTTTCCACATTTATAGATATTGTGTGTGTGTTTTTAAGTTAACGTATCCAAAGTTGTGAAAATGCCCTTTTTCTAGGGGTCTGTTAGGGACAGTTTTTAATGACTGATGAGGGCTGATTAACAGGAAGTTTGGCCCCAGTTGTTAAATACAGGTGTTATTAAAATTAAATTATATAAACCTACAATTAAACTAGTTATGTTAAAAAAATAGGTAATAAATACAACCAGACTTTGAGTAGCAACAGTATAGAACACCTCTGAATATGAAATCATTACTACAGAAACAGAAAACAGAAAAGAAAAATGGAAGACAGGAGAAAGAAGTGAGGAGGAAAATGAAGGAGAAGAATTAAGACCAAGTCCATTAGACAATCAAGTATAGAAGAAAAGAAACACTGGCCTCATTTGATCAAGGAATTTTCAGTCTAGGAAGATCTTTATGCATAAAACTACAACGAGGAGCCCCGATGTTACACCAGCTGCTTATTTCTCTTCCCTGGTAGAGAAAGGATCTTTGTAATTAGTGGGTCAGGGTGAAGGAGAAAAGAAAATCCTCACTTGCCATCACCCAAACTTAGGAGTCGATTTTCTCTCTGTTCTGATAGAAGGTTAACCTGAGTGAGATGCAGAAAAAACCAAAGAGCAGCCGTGTCTCCCTGCAGCACTCTGAGCAATAGTATCTTAGGGCAGGGTCTGTCACAGGCAGCCCAGAGGCTTCCAATTCCACAGTGGAAGCTTTCTGATTTCAGTCCCAACTCCAAGCTTTTCTCAGAAGTGGAAAGCCACATAGAGAAATCCGTTCTAATCCCAATACCACATTTACTAAGTTTACTGGCATTCTTCCATAAACAGAAAAATTACGTGATTTTCATTCCTAAACATGTCTCAACGGACTAATTATTACAGTAATAGCTAATATTTTGAGTGCTTGTTAAGGATTAAGTAAATGAGAGCAGCTAGTGGCTAAAGTTGGCATTTCTACTTTATCAGCCCACTATTGGTTTAAAGCACAGACTGGAAAACTGTGACCCACTGGCTGGATATTGCCCATTCTGTCTTTATAGGACACAGGAGCTAGGAATGGATTTTGTACTTTAAGTGGCCAAAAAAAAAAAAGTGAAGGAGACTACAGTTTAGTGATTTGTGAAAATTATATGAAATTCAGATGTCAGTGTTTGTAAATAAAGTTTTATTGGAACATAGACATTCCCATTTATTTATATATTATCACCAGTGGCTGCTTTTCTGGCAGAGTTGAATTGTTACGGCAGAGATCATTTGGCCTGCAAAGCCTAAAATCTTTATTATCCAGCCTCTTATGGCACATGTTTGCTGATCCCAGATTTAAAATGATAAAGTAACTCCCACAAATGTATTAAATAACTACATGGAACCCGAGCAGCCAGAAAGAGTTTGTGCTACTTTCAGAAGGGCAAAAAACTCTGAGGGTATAAGTGCCACACAGAGAATTTATCTAATTAAATAACAGAATTCCCAGGACTGTAAAATATGTTAAGTGGCTTCATTCAATTGATAACTCCCCATGCTTCACTGAAGCAGTCTGTTCAACAGGAGGGCTCCAGGGCCAGAACTTCACCATGTCACCCTGCTGTTTTGCATCTGAGATGTACTGCAGGGAGCACTGTGGCTTCTGGAAAAAGTCAAGAGGGCACCAGCTTGTAGGAAACGGGTGGCATTTTGAGTGCCATCTTGAATTCAAGATCTAATTTTATTTTTTAATTTAATTTAATTTAATTATTTTTGAGATGGAGTTTTGGTCTTGTTTCCCAGGCTGGAGTGTAGTGGTGTGATCTAGGTTCACTGCAACCTCCAAGTCCTGGGTCCAAGCAATTCTTCTGCCTCAGCCTCCCAAGAAGCTGGGATTACAGGTGTGCACCGTCATGTCCAGCTAAATTTTCTATTTTTAGTAGAGATG